AGCAATTTGTTCCTCGATGGACCATACATGCGCATCGGACACGACCAGCCGGCTATACATTTTCCGCTTTGAGCACAGACTCGCCACCAGATTTTTCATCGTTGACATTATCATCACGTTCCTTCTGCAGCCACTTCACGCAAACTATGTCCGAATAGCTAACTTCAGAACCCGTGTCTGCTCTACGCCGCGTCTTCATTACCTATCAAGACATCTTCGACTTTGACAACCTTCATTTAGGCCACACATTCATGGTAAGCTACGGCATTGATTTAGGTGATGCCCGATCAATTCACAGAAGTCTCTAAAATGTGGCAGCCGTTAAGCGTGCTGTTATAGAAAAGGAGATGGATAAAATGCTTTGTAAGTGAATAATCAAACCCTCTTCTAATCTTTCGTCGTCTGTCGTTGTACTTGTAAAAAAGATAGACAATAGCTGGAGATTCTGCGTTGACTGCCATCGTCTCAAATATATTACGAAGAATGTGTGCCTTCTCTCTCGTATTAACGACGCCCTCGATTGATGGCACGGCGCCAGATAGTTCTCTTTTGTAGTCGTGCGCTGAGGGTATTGGGCAGATCACTTTGGATGTCAGAAATAGAGAGAAGACTGCCTTTGTAGATCCGGATGGCCTTCATTAGTTTAATTTAGTGCTTTTTTCAATTTATTCAGAGCCGTGGCAACTTATACAATGTCCTGGCGTATGATGAACTTCCTTCTTCAAGGAAAAGTGTGATCCGTCTGTCTTTGCTATCTATATGATGTGATTGTTATTTCTACTTCTATTGAAGACCAACTTGATCACCTGGCCACTGCGCTTGACGTTTTCCAGAGCAGTAACCTCCACCTTAACTCGTCGAAATGTCTTTTCGGGCAACGCCAAATCTGCATACTAGGCCATCTTGTAAACGCTGCTGGCGTGCAACCAGACCCTGGAAAAGTTCTTGTCGATAGAGACTTTTCCACATCCCACTCGGTTAAGGACGTCTGAAGTATGATTGTATTGCGCTACTAAATTCATTGTTCTGTTTGAACCCCACCGAAATAGACCATGTTCTATTCTGCCGGCTTAAAAAAGATGTCGCATTCACCTGGCACCTACAGCGAGCACACCCCTTCTCATCGCCTGTTGTGGCCCTCACCAATACACAAGTCCTGGCGCACTTCGAGCGTTCTTCTAATACAGCGGTCTATACCGATACTAGTGGCCATGACATATACGCAGTACTTGCACAACGACAGCGTATTGTTTGAGTCATTTTATACGCAAGCCGCCTTTTGTAGCCTTCGGAACTAAATTACTTGATCCCAGAACAGAAGTGCTTAGCTCTCTTCTGGGCTATCGCGAAATTCCGACCATACTTGAATGGCAGACACTTCTTGGTTATTTCAGATCATCACGCTCTTTGCTGGGCTCCTCGCTCAAGGACCACACGGGACGTCCTGACCGCTGGGCACGGCTTTTGCAAGAGCACACATATTCTGTATCCTCCAAACCTGGACAACTTCACAAGGGATAATTTATGCTTGTCTTGGCACCTTGTCTATCCACATGAAACACTGGAAAATGAACACGAAGCACTATTGATCTCAATTACAAACTTCTACAACATAGCTGCTGAACAACACCATGACTCATCTTTTGGCCTAGTACAAATGGTCTCTGATCTTTATACACGGGCCATTGCCTGGAGATGTTCGTCCTTCATAACGACGTGTTGCGCCATTACGAAGCACGCTCCCTTGGTTCTGAGCGTTTACTCGTTGTTCCTGTGCATCTTCGCTCGGATGTTTTGGCCCAGCTCCATGATGCACCCAGTGCTGAACACCTAGGGGAGTCGCGAGCCTATCACCGCATTCACCAACGGTTCTTTTGGCCCGACCTCTATCATTTTGTGCGACAGCACGTAGCGGCCTGCAACTTCTGCCAGAGGTGCAAGACACCTGCGCTACTGCCCGTTCGTAGCATTTGCGCAGCGAAACACAAGTAGAACTTTTTTGTCGAGTTGGCCTCGAGATTCTCGGCTATTATACAAATCAGTCACTGGTATGGAATAGATTGACGTTGCCATGAAGCACGCAACGTGGTATGTCGTCACACGAGTGGGTTCTACGAGCTGCGCTACAGATGCGCTGATTTTATTCTGCATGATATCATCCTGTGCCCTGGTGCTTCTCGTGAGTTGATTACAGACCATGGTCACTGTTTCCTATCGGGAGCACTCAACGACATCCTGCGACCCTGCTCGACCACTCAGAAGTTTACGTGCCACCCACAAACTAAACGGACTCACCAAACGGCTGAATGTAACTTGACAGATATGCTTGATGTTTGCAATGTACGTGTCGGAAGACCATCAATATTGGGACATCTAGCAATTTTTTGTTGCATTGGCCTTGCATCATGGCGCAACTAGATTTTAACCTTTTTATCTATTGTTTGGCAACAACTCATCATTAGCCATCGTTGCCACACTCTATTCTGACACCGACTGTTCAATTGCATTCGCTCCTGATGCACTAGCTCGTGCTGGCATCGCCCGCCATGGCGCCCCAGATTCCTCATTTGCTTCAAAGGTTGATTGAAAGCGTTGCTATGATTGCTGGTACCACATTGTGCAGTACTCACAGGGGTCACTGGTCTTGCCGTGGTTACGATCATGACGTGTTGGTCTATGTAAAAAATTGATGTCCCGATAGGTTGGCTCTTACCGCATCGTACGAAAGGTCACCTACGTGACCGACGAGATAGCTCCACTCAATTCTAGATTACCAACCACCCCAACCATGAGCCATATTGTTCATGTATCACGACATTAACCGTACCAGTTTCGCTCGTAAAACGGATTGCACTGACAAAATGCTTTTGCCACCGGCGGGTGGGCCAATATGGCAAAGCAGGACGAGGACGCAGTCAGTGGAGCGCACCTTCACTGCGGCAACGTTGTACGTCTTTTTAAATGTACGCTGTGTGCATACTTTTTTCCCTCGTAACAGTATGCATAGAATGTTGCGGTGTAAAGTAGTGCGTTTTCAGAATTTTCGTGGTACATACACGTTTGTAATGTGCCCTTACAATGCCATGATACGCCAGCAAGTCTATACAGTAAGGCATTTCGGTCTAAAACTTCGACTCTTTTGAAACGTCTACGGGTACCTTTGGGCACTCGTACATGTCTTAATTGTAGAGGGCGATATTTCGACTATTTTTAATAAGGTATTTTTTAGCAGTCCCTTTGACCTGGAAACCTTGGACGCAGTTTACTCACAGCTGCTAGCAAGAGCGAATTTGTATACCAATTCGAGCGGCTTGGACCATTGCAGCTAAATCAAAGGCATATCTAACTCCTAACAGTATAATTGTTCTTGATTTTATACGAAAAGTCAATGAGCAGGTGTTCAATTTGGGTTTTATTTTGGTTGACTAAGAGCTGAGTACTGTTATTCGAGAAGTTGTTATGTTTCAGGCAAACAATTGTTGCACTAGTTGTGCGTAAGTATAGTTCTGGTAAAAGTGCAGATCAGAATCATTTGAAGTACGTAGTGGGTCACAGACTCGGCACCAAGCTCTATATATATTAGCAGTGCATCCTAAAACAATGTTAGTGATGCTAGAAACTGTGTTAGTGTTACAGGGGTGAAGCAATTTCAAAAATATGAGAATAACGAAAGGATAACCACATAATAAGTCACTATACAATTGAATAAAATGCCCCAGAAACATCCAGATGACACAAGCACGACCCATGAGAGAGTGCCTCCAGATCGCCACATGCCCAATTGCTCCTGTCACCGGCGCTTTTCTTCGCCATCACACTACACCTGAAGGAGATTGCAGTCTCAAGAAACTCACTGCAAAATACACAAAGCTCAGCTGCCCGAAAATTCTGGAAATCGATAAAGTGCTGCAAAAAGCAGGATGCATGTCATGCACTGAGTTTATCCCGGAAAATATCCCGGGTATTATCCCGGAAAACAGACTAGTGCTCGTTAAATTTCACAAAAAACTAGAAAGTAAATTTTTAAGATGCTAAGAATGTGAATTGTTCGGTGTATTCGTGCAACACACTTCATCAGGATAACACTGTCGGAGTATTGGTCTCACATAGAGTATAACTCCATTTACAGACATCAATCGCTACATATATTTTATTGCGATAGCAGTTATATGGACACTCTCAGCTGGATTAGGCCACCGGTGTCACCGTAACTTAACGTATAGGCATTAGTATCAATGTATATAAAGACGCAAGAAAGAAAAATAATCCAGAAAAGACCCCGGCACGCAGAATCGTACTTGAGATCTCTGAAACGTTAGTGCAAGGCGTTAACCACTGAGTCACGGAGAGGCACATCCTTCAACGTTGAAACGGCAAGCTATTTATATCTACCACTTACCGCTGTTTACGGGCATCTCGGAAGGGTGGGGGGGGGCTATTTTGTTCTCAGCATGACCAACAAGATGGCGCAATGACCGCGCTTTGCCACATCATTATGACGCGATGGCGCGCGCTCATCTCTTACACGTACATTGCCCCGTGAAGGGGAGGGTGGTGCACGCTCACTCTCACGCCCTTATCTCGCGGTGAGGAGAATCGTATGTCTTCGCTAGCCTTGGTATTTCACCGAAACAATTTTGTTGTAGTTACCGGGCGTACAAAGGTCACTGCAATTGTAGTACAGCCTCCATTTGCAATAAAAAAGCATGGTCTTCAGGCACAGCGAAGTCACAAGTGAAGCGTTTATTCGTATTGATCCATACCTGTGAGTAAGTTTAGTGCGTCATTTGTGCGTGAGAAACGCGGGGAACGTTTCCATCTGCTTGCCATTCAGCGCGTAACCTTTCAATTTGTTGCTATCGCGTTGATTTCTTCGCCTTTGTGGCAACGCTCTGATTTTTTTCTTAGTGTTTGTTCGAATTCACTTCATTGTACGGCCGAAAATCAGTTTTTTAAAGCACAGCCAAATGCAGTCACACCTTTCTCGGTTTCTTCTGCATCACAGCATATGTATCATCTATCTGGCGGGCCCCATCTTCTGCTGAAGGCACGGGTCTGGAATTCAACGCCATAAGCATCACGCACGATGTCAAAAAGAGATGACATTTCTCACAGAAAGTCGCTGAGCATGCATTTTTTGTGTTAAAGGTAAGCACACGCCTATGCCTAATTCGGGGTAACTACAACTGCATTTGTACATATACACTTCAGATGCTTCAAAATAATGGTCATTTTATATTTACCCAGGAATGCTACGTGACAAGTGCTTGCTTAGGACGCCTGCATATATCAACGTGCTGCTTTATAAGCATCGGTCGTATGCCTTGAGGCTGCATATTCTGTAAAATATTCTGCGAGCATCCCTAAGTTCCTTCATAGAAGGGCACACAAAGCCACATTATGGTCCTGCTTTTCTCTTGGACAAAAATCTTTGTTGTAATGGGTAAGCCTCCGATATATACGGCAACAACCACCTTATGTCCATCTGTTAGCCAGCGGTATGGTACTGAGGTGAGCAATAGTTACTGCGCAGCAAAAGATAACTTCATGAATAGACGTGGTGAAACGTTATCAATTTTTTATTACATTTCACTTTCAGGTTCTATTTTTCGAAGAAAACAAGCAGTAACTAGGTCGTATATAACTAGTATTAAAACAGTCAAATTGAGTACATTATGTGATTATCAGTTTGGTCCTGCTTTGCCCGTATTTAGGTTATTGTTGGTATGTTCATACATTTTTGAACGTGTCTTTAGTTTATTATCAATGCTTAGCGTTTTTGTGTAGTTCTGTTAGGACACAATACAATAGTTTTTGACTTCTGGGCATCCTGTTGGAAAAAGTTGCAACCACCCATGTGCTATGTATTTTGCGATTTTTTTAACAAAGAGGAAGTTGCCAGTAGTGTCCTCGATCTGCTTAGTATTGTGTTGGAGAAATGTCGAAGCTCACCAAGTGTCCAAATTTGTTAATCGCCCAGATTCTGGGTCCGCTTCAAAAGCGCGAATAAAGTGAACAGGTGCGCAGCTTCGCCTATTGCCTTACAGACGCGTAATACGCCCTGCACTGATAAGTAGAAGAAATAGAAATGCCCTGGTTAAAAGCGAACAACTATATTTGCAATAGAAGTCACCCGATAATTAAACAGACAATGATACGTTCACTGCCTTTTGTCTTTTTACGGCACGCTGAGGCGTGCAACGAGCATTCGAGTGAGGCTAGTAATTGCGAAGGCGATGTGCACGAGACCCTATCACGCTATCATGTTCCGATCTCGTTGGAAACGTGCAAGCTGGCTCCAAGGTTTTCAGCAATGATTGCTTATTTAGGGTGTTCAGAACATCGTATCTCCTGACTTGCGAATAGTAGAATTTTAGGACATGAACCCATCGCCCGAAATATTCTTCGAAGCGAAGTCTGCTAACATGCGAAATGTTACTTTGAACCGTTATGGAACGTAAAAAAATAATTCATAGCAAGGCTGCTGTGAAAGCAAATTGTTTACTGATTTATTTGAGGAAAGTTCAGCTCCTTGCGAAGGCATTTCGAAGGGCATTAATCGTGCGTGGAATGTCGCCTGGCAAATGCACTCTGTCACTTCCAAAACAAGAATTTCTTCAAAGCATCCTGTCTCATCAACGAAATTTACTCGTGACTCATGATATCGGTTACAATATCAACATGTGCATCAAGGTAGCTTCCGCGTAATAAACAATTTCGTGTGACATCCGCATCAATCTCTGTGGATGCCGCTCGTCGGAGATTTCCAATGGCAATGGCAGGCAGCGTCCACGGAGCTGATGTGCACGCTTGAATCAACGAACCATCAAGTTTCGTAGTTCGAAGCAGACTCCAAGAGCCCCACCACGGATCCCACCGTCGGTAAATGTAGTTCCGCAACAGCGCTCGTGTGTTTTACGTTGAAAGCGTTCATTCTATATTTAATACGCTGAGCTATTTGAGACAGAACGCAGCGCACACCACTCGCATTTCTTTTCGTATTTCTTTTAATTTATTCGTTGTGACTTCGCTGTTAAGAATGTGCGACAAAGTCTTCCCTTTTGACCTTTACCTCAAACGCTAGACGGCATCTGCGTCAACATGAAATGCTGATGGTGCGACCCTTAATTTCCAGAGCCTTACTAAACATGTGCCAAATCGGACTACTTTGCGTTGTACTACATGTGCAGAAGCTCCGTCTCCGTAGCTTTCTCTTCAGTGCCATGCCTCATCATGTACTTCTCAATGTTTTAGACAATATGAGTGATCACAATGTGCTTGATTGTGAATATACTTTAGCGAACAAAGGCCAGAAACACCAAGAAAAATAATCCACAACTACGCACGGGAAAATGTTGATATAATAATAAATCATCTGCCATTTTTTAGAACGTTCACGCACATTGTGGCTGCGCGCAACTAATGAAGAATGATATCTCGTGCAAACTCATCCAACTGAAACAAAAGAAAAGTATATTCCTAAAACAGAAGCTCCAGTGCCAAGCCAGAACGCATGGTTGAACTTACATGTCAAACGCTTCATGAATAAAAAAATTCTCGAAAGCAAAACACTCAAGACCTGATAGTGATTGGGAACGTTACTGTGAACAATGCAAGCAACGTAAGACATAAATCAAAGCCAAAGATAAATTTTCTAATATTCATATAACAATGCTCTGAAGGAATAATAACCAAACTTCTGGAAGGTAACTAACACAAAACAATCGTCGTCATCACAAGTGTACATTTTCAAGGATGGCGTACTTCTTTCGCCATTGTGTGTTGCAACGAAACTAAAAAATTTTTGGATCTGGACACATAGATAGAAATCCCCTTCCGTCCGACTTTAACTTCACGAATCTAGGGTCAGTCATGAATGATTCAAATCTTTGACACCAAAGTAGTGAACAAGCTGCAAATAATTCGGCACCCGGCCCAAACGGCATCGGCACCAAAATGCTAAAATTACAAGTATGTAATTCCTCGCAATCTAGCTGCTCTACTTCAGTAATCTATTGATAGTGAGAGCGTACGAGAGACCTGGAAAATTGCCAACATCAGCAGTTTTTTTCTTAAATCAGGTGACGCCTCTATGCTTTGTAACTGCAGATAGATTTCACTAACAAACATACCGTGCAAACTGTTAGAGAACATTATATCAATGTAATTATGGCATATATAACCATGAACAAGTTCTTCTTATCAAGACAGCATAATTTCCAGTGAAGCTTTTCATGCGAAACTCACCTATTCGAACCATTAACCGATACACGTGAAGTGATACAAAGTAAAACTGACATTGATGCTCTAATTAAAAAGGCCGTGCAACACTTTTTGAGCACGGTCAGAAAACACTGCCGATCGGTAGGAGAGGCTCACGACAACACGCGAGCCAAATTATATAGCCCAGCACGCGGCCTGGAATTCACAATAAATTATTAAGGTCAGCTCAAAAATTGCTTTCTCCTTCGTCGACAAATGGCATAATATGCCCAAAAATAACACGTGAATTACCCATCTATCAGCCATTGGCTAAATGGAACATGGCGCTCACTCGTTTTGAAAATCGCCGTGGGAGGACGAAACTTGTCGATGCGTGCGCGCGCGCTCACACCAAAAAAGCAGCCCATTGGAAGAAAAACAACTACTAAAAAGTGCTCAAGGCCACGAGGCACGTGTGACGTTATTCTGTGGCCCTTCCATCCCTCCCTGCGTAGCATCCAGAACTTTAGTCGCGACAAGAGACGAGAAAATGGAATCGCAGCATTCGCACTCGCACTGAACGGTTTCCTAAAGCTTTTACGGCATTGAATTCGTGACCAATAGGCTTTTCCAGTGAATTCATTCCATGGTTACCTAAAGAAGCGTTTCAGGGCCCCTCTAACAGCGAAAGCTAGTGTGAGATCCCAATTCGGGTCACGTGCAGTTGTCCGCCACCGCCACCGCTGCCAGTGTCCATTACCACATCGCAGGAGATTACAAAAAAGCTAGTACCAATGACGCAATGGTGCTCAAACCGGGGTCTGTTCGGTACTAGCCCTGTATTATACTACTTAACTACGCCGTTGCTTGGAACTTGTTGGCAAACTTGCCCTAGGCAGTCTTGATGTCGAAAAAGCAATCGCGGTAGTACGACTTATAAAGCGTTTTAAAACAGCGAAAGAACCAGCACTCGTCGTAAAATGTGAATAGCGTAACGAGTAGACCGTTCAATGCTCCATCTCATTACAAAAGCTCGTTTTTAACCACCTAATAATTGTGGTGCATACCAACTGCAGCCATAATTGCTCATCGTCGCATCAGCCACTGCATGAACATTTGACACAAAATCCTTCGCAAGTGTTCAGCGGATACTACGCTTCTCAGAAGAATGACAAAAAATAGCATGGCAAATGCCGGCTTAGTACCCAAAACATATAATAATGTTGCCCAAGTGGATATGAAGAATGTGTGCCTGCTGTGGTTACCCAATAGGTGTTTTGAAAATGCTCTCAAAAGCCGCTCTTCTAGCATTTGCTATGACTGTGCTGCACATTCCGCGCAGACCTGGTGCTATTTAGACTTCGCCAAAGCTTTCCACAAGCAGTGGGGCAGCTTGGGCTAGTTGGTATGGAAATTACGATAGTTATAGCGCGAGAACAAAACGACGACACAAAGACAAGAGTCTTTCGTGTCCTTCTTGTCTCTGTGTCGTCTTTTTGTTCTCACGCTATAACTATCGTCATTTCCACAAGCTTCTCATAACCGCCTAAATATAAAACTGAGCACCCTGAACATGAACCCTAAATTTCTAGACTGATTGCTGTCAGCCTGTTTATTTTTTATTATTACCTATTATAAAGGTAGAACCAGGTGTTCAGAAATGTACAGTGGTAGGGGCCATCCTATTCCTAATTCACGTCAATGATTAAGGCAACCGATTGTCATCCCCTAGTCAGACAGTTTGCAGGGAATTGTGTAAGTTGCAAGACAAATTACTAACCATGTCAGTGTCACTGCGCTGCAGTCTGACATCAACCAAATCACCCACTGGTGGTATCAATGACAAATGGAAAGTAATGTATCCAAATCGAAGCACACTGAATTTACAAGAACAATGAAACCTGTGCTTCATTCTTACATAATTAACGATGGGCCAGTTTTCAATGTGTTTACAATAAAATACTTAAGCGTTCATCTTGCACACGACATTTGATGAAATGGTTAAGTTGAGTAAATAGCAGTAAGGCTTCAAGTGCTTTTGGTTTTAATAAACCTAATTTGCTCTCTTCTTACCTGTCCACCAAACTTTTCGCATTCATAGCTTTAGTTCCCTGAAAAATGGAATACGCCACCCTTATTTGGAATTGTAACCAACAATATATTATTCATAAACTTGAGGCCATCAAAAAAAGCAGTCCTCTTTACCATAGGAAAATATTCGGCGGTATATAACGTACTAGC